TGTCGGCGGCAAGGCCAGTGTGCCGCTCGCGGGCTGGCCGGGCTGTGACTTCGCTTGTCTGACGGACGTCTGCCCAAACTGCCTCTCTCCTCGGGAGGAGGGAGAAACGTCCCTTCCCATGTCTTCCTCGGTGTGGAAAGGGATAGCATTTGAACTCGTTTTGACTGCAGGTTTACCAGTGCTAGGCTGGCGTGAAGGGAATCAAATGCCCCTTTTTATGGTATTTCTGCTGGACTGGCCGTCTGTCTCTCCATGTCTCTCGGTTTTGGTTGTCCTTGAACTGATCTCTGCCTTCCCCTTCCTGCCCCTGCTCAGACGCTGGGAACGGCTGCTCGCAGGCCACCGCCATCTCACTCAGGTACTCAAATGGTGGATGTGGCACCCCGCAAAGTCACTGTTTGTTGCTTCCAAGGGGAAGAAAGCGAGAGAGGAGTACCTGCTCTTCAACCCTGCGTATTAGCCCATGGACAGCTAATGGTGCCTGTTGCTTCAGTGGTTACACGTTTGCTAGCAAAGTCTGAAGTTATTTGTAGCTTTAGTTATGTAGGTATTTATGCATACCTTTCTCTCTTGTTTGACAGTTTATCCTGTCATTTTCCTAAATCAGTTGCTTGATTGTGTTGCAAATCAATGTAAAACTTCACTGACTTGAGCCAAGACGCGGGAGTTGCGCGGGAGCTGCGCAGGAGTTGCAGCCTTCCCCGCTCTGCGGGGAGCATCCGCATGAAGTTGCCGCTGAGACCCCTGAGTAGCGCTGCACCCCTCCGAGCCTGGTCTTACCACGAAACCAAGAGCGTGTTGGCTGGCCAGTCATCCACAAACACTGAGCGGCTGGCATCCGCGTAACCGCTAACAGGGGCTGGGCTGAAAAACTGCTGCTTTTAGCCCAAAAACCTTGATCAAATCAGGTCTGATCTGAACTGGTTGCCTGGGAAAGCCAGGCAGGGATGTTGAATCAGTCAGTGTCGCGTTTCAAAAGGAGTAACTTTCAGGCGTGTAGTGATGCAACTGTAAAAACTGCTGTATTTCTGTATGATCTCTGCCTTTGTAAAATGAGGCACTCAGGGGAGTTGGTGCTTTGTGCCCAAAACCAGTGCCCAACCATCCCTGACATCTTCCTTACAGAGCTGCAAAGTTGTATTTCTGTCTGTTGGCTTGTGCTTTGAAGCACGTAACAGATTCAGCTGCCACGTCTAATCCTAGTGAGATAAGTATTCCCTAAGCATGCAAAATCAGACACCTTCCCCCCAGCCCAAAATCAAAGAGAAGGTTACCGAAGCGTGCTGTTGGGTATTTGCTGCGATGGGAAGCTAGTGTTGCCGTTGGAGAGGCGGTGGCGGTTCCTCTAGCTCTTCGCCGTGGGAGCCGGCAGGAGTGCTCATGTGTAAATCCCACAGAGCAAGCAGGGGCTGGAGAAGCAGCTGTGCATCCCGTTCTGAGACTTCGACCTTCCTCTGGCTTTGAGCTGGTTTCTTAGCCGGAGACAGCTGCCAATTCCAGGTGACGCTCTCAGTGCTTCTGCTTTTGTTTCCTCTAGAAGAGAGAGAGAAATAGAATTTTAAAAATACTTAGAGGTTTACTTCCTGCTTTTGGCCTTCTAACGGAGTCACTATTTTTAAAAGAGAGCATGTATTTTGTAGGACTGTGCAACTTTTCTGAGCGTAGAGCTGCACTCCTGTCTACTACCTTTTTGTCTTGTGATTCTTTAGTATTATTTTTGTACACGGTCTTATGTTTTTTAAAAACTTTTTAAGTAGTTTCAAGAAGTAGTGACTGGTTAGTTTGGAAAGTATATTACTGAACAAAATATTTATAGCTTATATGACTTGCACAAAAGTGCTCCAAGTTTTTAAGTTATATACAGTGCATTGACATTGTATGATACATTTCATTAAAAGTCTAAATATAACCGGTTACAATTTAAATAAACTATACATATTTCAGTTTCTTTGGGATGTGCAAAATAGAATTTTAGGAGTTGGGTTGCATCTTCTTTTCAATGGAATTGTACGTAATAAAAGAAATGCCACAGAGTTTCTCAATATCTGCTACTGAATATCAGTCCAGGGGACAGTTAGGAGGGTCATCCATATGCATCCTCTGACTGTCCTTACAGGTACCTGCAGAATTCATAGTATCAGATTACATTTTTTTCCCTCTGTATTTTTACCCTACTCTTCAGTGGTTTCATTTGGCATGGTTTCCTCCACACTGATAACCACAGGAGATGCTTTTTGTGATGAAGAGTTAGTTATTGTGTATTGCAGTCTGGGCCGCTCGGATCAGGTTTCTGCAGGTGATGACAGAAAAAAGTAAAGAGATTTCACTCGTATCTGGTCTTTTCAGGATGAATCTTCAAGTCATGAGTGTAACCAGCGCATGATTCTCCTTTATGGTGTTGGTAAGGAGCGTGATGAAGCAAGACATCAGCTGAAGAAGATAACCAAAGACATCCTCAAAATTCTGAATAAGAAGAGTACTACTGAAATGGGTGGTAAATGCTTTAACGCTGCTGTATGGTAGCCTGTAGCGAAGATCACGGGAGCTGTGAGGTGCTCAGCAAGTTGTCTGGAGCCATGCATGTTGATCACGTAATTTGTCTTTCATCCCCTTCACAGTCACTGGGTGAAGTACCGACCAGAGTCCCGCAGCACAAAGTGCGATCTGCTGGCCTGCCTTATGGCTGCGCCGGGACACCGAAGGGCCACTGTCGTTACAAATCCCTCTTTTCCATTATAACAGCTTGGCTGTAAGCACTTGTGTTAGGCTAAAGCCTGGAATCTGAGCTACTGGCCAGCGAGCGATATATATTCCTTATCCTTCTAGTAAAACTGTATGACCGTTTTTCAGTTTTTCTTGGGTGACACCTTTTTGCATTGGAATAACCTCGAAGTAGCTTTGATATTGTTACATGCTGTGGCATGTATTTGTCCCAAGTATAATGTAAAACTGAGGCAAGTAGGGGTTTATGTAGTCATGAGTAAAGCTTATTAAGATTTTTATTGTCTTTTAAATCAGTAATTATGCAAAACTACTAGGCTCCGTTAAATATAAAATGATCAAAATAATTTTTTATCTGTTAACTTATCTGTTAAGTTGGGGATGAAGGGCAAAAAGCCAGGAAGACCAAGCAAGAAGCGTTTCCAACCCTAGAGACCGTGTTCACAAAACTACAGCAGCTGTCCTATTTTGATCAACATCAGGTGACATCTCAGGTACTTCCCTTGTATAAAATTGTAGCCTTTTACGTTCTGCTGAAGAGATATCAAATAGGAAGCAAATCTAGGTTTTTAGAAGTGTTTTGTATGTACCAAGAATTTTCAATGCACTGCTTCTTCAAAGGCAAGAGAAAAAATGCTGCCTTTGTATTCTAAAATACCTGCTTCAGTAGATATTTGGGTGTTTGGTTTGATTTGCTTGTTTGGGGGGGGTTGTTTGTTTTGCAAGAAGCTTTCTGGATTATTATGGATGTCATGATTTTTAAATGAAATAGATTTCCATTAACAACATTGTTTAGGGCTCCTTGGTAAATTAGATGCTTGTTAACCAATCCCTTGTGTAGGTATAAGATACGTTACTGCATCTGTGTTTATGAAGGAGAGTGAACTCTTCTGTGTTGTGTAACAAACTTGAGAAGCTGGTGGATAATGCAGTTTGTCCTTTTCTGGATGTTAGACTTTATAGTCAACCTTTACTGTTAAAAAACTTTACCAGTGGCTGACTGGAGAGCATAAATAATTTATTTTAAATGGCGAGACTGGTTTTCCTGGTTTATATTAGGACTTGTAAGTGTGCAAATGTATCAGCATAGGATTTCATCACTTTGCCAGGTTTTACTGTTTTTAAGTATATTTTAGTAATCAGAGGCTAGCATAAGAAACAAAGTAAAAGTAATACATGTTTGATACTTAATTTATAAGACATCTTTGGATCTGGTCTCTCTAATGAATTTATTACATGTTTTGTTTGTAGGATAATGCATTATTAATTATCCGAAAACCATCAATAAAAAAATCACAATGCAGTAAGATGGAAAGAAAAATTATTTTGCCTCTTTTTTTAAACCAAAATACCCCACAGAATAACAATCAGTATTGTAGGTGTTCAAAACAGTTTGACTCTCAGCTGTAAAGCAGCAGAACAGCATTTTCTGTGCTGTCAATTTTGAAAATAAAATGTCATTACAACTGACTTGCAGGATGGTAGAGTAACAGATTTAGTCCTGCATGATTTGTTAGTGCTTTTATCTGCAAAATGCTGTCACTTGCTATTACCGCTTATAAAATAGGATTTTTGGAGCACTACTGTATCTGAGAAGCCTTCGGTCTTCATGTGGCTTTTCAACATTTATTTTCACAGATCTCCAGTAACGTTCTGGAACAGATAACTAGTTTTGCCTCAGGAACTTCGTATCATCTTCCCTTGGCTCACCATATACAACTCATCTTTGATCTCATGGAGCCAGCACTGAATATCAATGGGCTTATAGACTTTGCAATACAGGTAAACAGTTCATTTTGGCGGGGGGGGGGTGTCAGGATAAAGCTGTGATATGTTTTCTGTAAAACCAGGAAAAAACCAAGAGCTGGACTGCAAATTCTCCTGATTTGCTGCCATGTGCTTTTATCTCTTTCAGTTTCCAGGCCTCCGAAACAGAGTGCCAGATACTTCCCCTTCTGTCTTTCTTTGACAATTAATGTAGAATCAATAGATGTATTTTATTTTTATAATTTTCAAAATTAATAAATTTTGAAATTAATTACTTAATTTAGTAATTAATTTAGTTAATTAATAAAATTCTGGATTATTTAGCACAAAGTATTTTAGAATGTGCTTCACTGTTTCAAACTGACCCATAATATTACACAGTAAAGCATCTGGGTGCCAGAAGTGCCATGTTATTTCTGAAGAGCAGTTCTGAGGGACGTTTTTTGTACTTTTAACAGTTTATTTTGCTCCCTCTTTCTGCTGTTCTGCATAAGGAATTTCATTTTTGTTTTGTATATACTTTTTCTGTAATGTTTGGGTTTTTGCACCTCTTTTACATGTTTAACCTGGAAGTTACTTTCAGTTCATTATTTTTGTGTATGTGTTTTCAGCTGTTGAACGAGCTGAGCGTTGTGGAGGCAGAGCTGCTGCTGAAGTCATCCAGTCTGGCAGGAAGCTACACAACAGGGCTGTGCGTCTGCATCGTTGCTGTTCTGCGGCGTTACCATGCCTGCCTCATCCTCAACTCAGAGCAAACCGCACAAGTCTTTGAAGGGTTTGTGGCAGCTCCAATTTTCCCAAAAGTATTTTTGTTTTTTTTTCTTAAGCAAAAAATGCATTTAGGTTCAGGTAGTGAGACCAACTATTGCACTACTATTGGAAGGCTGTAAGTGAGCTCAGGTGAGTGGAGCGGGTAGCTCACCTCTGTGGCCTGCTCCCCACCATGGGGGCTGGTGGGACCTCACACTTTTTAATCTAAGAAAAGGGGACAGCTGTGTATCTTGATTCCTACCCATTTGCCCCATTCTACCCTGGGCTCCCCGAGTGCCTCTGTGTCCCAGGAAAGCGCACAGGTGACACCAGACTTCGCAAGAGCCCCGGCAGCCTGTAGATGCAAGGTCTGTCATCACGTTGCCCAGCTAGTGGTGGGGTTTATATGATGTATAACAATATGAGACACGTTTCTAAGGTGCGTTGGAACAAACTCAGAATGGTTTTATTTTTGCAGGTTGTGTGGGGTGGTAAAGCACGTCGTTAATCCCTCAGAGTGTTCCTCCCCAGAAAGGTGCATTTTAGCTTACCTCTATGATCTGTACGTGTCCTGTAGTCACCTGAGAAGCAAGTTTGGAGACCTCTTCAGGTGGGTGGTAATGGGATTTTTCTCACCATGGCCTAGCCATCAGACTGACGCTGGCTGCTGTGGTTTCAGTTCAGTTTGCTTTCCCTGGAAAATATGCTGTTGCCTTTGCTGCTCTACCTTTACTGATGCAATTCTCTTGCCCGTGCCGAGCGTGGCAGCACAGCGTGTGGTCCTGAGCCTGCGACCTCCTACGCTGTGCCAGTACCTGCCGTGGAGGAGCAGAGGCTGAGCCCTCCCTGCAGTGCTGTGGTTAGCTTAGCGCGTTGCTTCAGCAAGCCGCGCTGACGCACAGCGAGCAGGCGCGGGGCGAGGGAAGCGGGGACTCCCAGCGTCAGGTGGGCTGCTGAGGCAGCTGCGCCGCACAGCGTTGGACCCCTCCCCACACACCTTTGCTGTCGCAGATTGCGATGTGACTGATTTGGTTTCTATAATGCGTCAGCAAATTGGCTGTAATGCATACAATGTTGGATGGAAAATAACAAAATCTCAGCTGATGCAGCTGTAATATTCTATTAAATATTTCCTTTGATGTGGGGAGAGACGCAAACATGTTTGAGTTTGTGAAGGTTTATGTTCGAATGTTCAGCTCCTTGATTTTTAAATTAAAAAATATTTTAGGTACCCATATGCTGTATTTTTGGCTCTTACTTTTTAAAGGGGGAGTGGAAACGCTTTCATATGCAAATAAGCATCTTGTGAGAGTTACAAACCACTTCAGTTACTGTTTCCCCTCCTAGTTTATATACCTGGTTTTGGTTTGCATATTTCAGATTTGTGGTTTTCATTTCATAGGGAGCAGGAAAAGAGTTCTCAGTAATAATCTTAATATTTTAATAGGTTTACAAAGGCATGGGAACATTAACATTTAATATGAGAAACACAAGAAAAAAGAAATATGAAATCTAGAAGAACTACAGAAGTGTCTTAGCTGTATGTTCATTTTTCTACTTAAAACCTGAAGTTCAGTAACACAATAAAAAATAACATTTTTATTAATGCTAACCTGCAATACCAAATCAAAGCATCATCTAGTAATATAGAGATATTAAAGATATTAAACCGTATATTAAATAAGTGATATACAGCCCTTGATTTGAAGCTCCTTTTTTCAAACAAGTGGAATTAGAAATTCTCTGGAAACTGGTAATAAAATTTATGTGTACATTTTTTAAACAGCTGTGTATAAGGTAATAGTGCTACACTAATTCTGTTCTTGGTTTCCTTGCTACAGTTTAAACAAACCCAGTTGTCTGTACACAGCAACTTTTTAAGCTCCTTCTTAGCATGTTGTAAGTCCAGCTATTTCTAGGTCTCTAAGTCAATTTGAAGCAACAATGAAGTACAGTTCATAAATGTTCAAATTTGGAGACTTACCTTCCTTATATTGCGGCGCTTAAAAAATGGTTTCTGATCTCATCTGCAGTGTTTCTCATGATCGCGTTTTACTAAGCGAGCTGCATGTTTTGTTTTAGTCTGCTTGGTATATTTAGTTGTATTCACTAAACTTCCTTTTTTAAATCATTCCTTCACTTTTTTTTTTTTTTTTTTTTTAAATTTTATTTTCTTCTGACCACTCCCCCAGCATTAGTTCTTGTGCAAGTACAGTTTTAGAGGCTGCTTTGCTCATGTACTCAGAATTGTATTGTTTGGGTTTTGGACCTTTTTTTCTGTGACTCATGGGGTAAGTGTAGGTGAATGCTGTGACGACAGAGTGTCGTGACAGGACGTATGTGTGCCCAGGGTGCTGGGGCATTTAAATAGTGCCTGATGTTTGAGGTATGGGGTGTTTGTTTTCCACTGGTTGGTTTTCTTTCCTTGCTGTTACATTGGCTGTTAGAGCAAAGGGTTAACGTCTGGCATTACCATTCTTGTAGATTAATTATCTTAATGGCCTCTCCCTCCAGCCCTGGAGCATGCTGATGAGGAGCAGCAGCAGCGGTGTGCAGGGTGGTGTCCCCAGGGGTGCCCTCCAAGCCCCATGTCCGAGGTGCTGCTGTGCACATCGTGGTGGCACAGTGCTTCCTCTGTCTTTCCATCCTGGGGCCAGTGGAGTTCTAAAAAATTCCAAAGGTTTCATGCATTTTAAGTTAATTTCAATTAACAGGTATTTTTCAGTAATGAGGAAGTCTTCCCAGTTGAGGTAATTAGTAAAGTTTGTCCATATGGGTGTTGCTTCCAGCTGTGGTATAAAACCCAACGCCTGAGACACATGCTCCTTAGAACATTTTGTGTGTGAAATTTGCATTCTTCAAACACCTTCAACACCTTTTTTTTTTCCCTGAAGAAACCCAGTAACAATTCCATTCCTAGCCTGGAACCTCTCTTGACCTTTTGTCATAATTGTTAATGTCAAAATATGACCTTTAAGTACCTTTCCTCTGTTTACTGATTTCGTCTTTCAGAAGGTTGTCTGTTATGTCACATCATTACCAAATGTAGAGTTTTTAATTTATCTAAATGTTCTCATTTTTCCTTAATTAATTCTTCTTACCAGCTGTGCAGTTCACTGTGTCATTACACATGAAGAGGGGGAGCAGTGTTAGGAAGCGGTGTTACAGTTCACTGCAGAGGCATCTGATGCTCCAGGAAGTTACTGCTAGTGAGGAAGGAATGTGTAGTCCTTATCCAGCTGCTCACAGTTTCAGTCACAGAAATGTCATAGAAGTGCTTTGGAAATTTGAGACTTCATTTGTGGGAAAACTTGAATGAAATTCATGTATCAGCCTTATTTTCTGGTAGATGCTTCTTATAAAAAATGAATGAAAATGCTTACAGAATGGTAATCAAACTAGGGTTTTCTAATCCCACATGGTATGTTGAACAGTATTTCTGCAAAATCTGTTTTTGGCAACTCTCTCTCTTTTTGGTCCTCAGTAGTGCCTGTTCTAAGGTGAAGCAAACGATATACAGCAATGTTCAGCCTTCAAATTCCAATTTACTGTGGGACCCAGAGTTCATGCTAGATTTTATCGAGAATCCTTCTGCTCACAGCATTAACTACTCGATGCTGGGCAAGATCCTGAGTGATAACGCAGCCAACCGCTACAGCTTTGTCTGCAATGCGCTAATGAACGTCTGCATGGGGCACCAAGATGCAGGAAGGTAAGGCAAGCTGTGCTGGAATCAGAACTGTATGGATTTTTACATGGTATATATGAGGCTTCCTTTCACTTTTTTGTTTTGTGTCTTTTTTGCAATTGTTTTAATTCATTACTCTTTCTGACTGCTGAAAATTTATTGAGTAAGTTTCTGAGTTATTTCATTATGTCAGTCTGCATAATTTAACAGAAGGGGGTAGCAAGTAGAAAGTACTCGCTGTAAGACAGTCAGTGAGCTTTTTGTATCAGCAGTTGTGCTGTTTCAGACAGAACAGCTCAGCACAATCTTTGCTCATTAGAAGCCTGTAAATGAGGGCAGGTTCTGCATTAGGTAATTTCCTGCTTCTGATGCAATTGGTGCTTAATGTATTAAATGTGTAATTTATTTATTATGGATTTCATCTTCATAGGTAATATGTATGTTTTAAAAAAATATTCTTTTTTAAAGTATTAAGAGTTCTGTTGGATGGAAGCTACTAGAGTTATAACAGCTGTCAGTTATGTTTTCAGAGTAGCTTGGACCTCATGGTGCACAGTTTAAGTCGATCTCCAGTGATGAGAGTTTAGGATGAGATCTGCACTGCAACAGGTTGTCCAGCACTGTCTTACTGTGGTTGTTTTCTGGCACCAGCAGGTCCTGGCTCCTCTCACAGTCAGGTGGAGCTTTGGTCTGATCCAGCATGACACTTCTTGGATCTTGTGCCTATGTTAGATCTTTTTAGATGATCTCAAGGTGCTGTCAAGAAATATAGTGAAGAACCCTTGCAGTAAAACAGCTTAATGTCAGTGTTAGGGTTTGTTTTCTTCCATAATTCAGATGTCCTTCTCTCAATTGCTTCCTCCTTCCTGTGTGTAAACATATGAACTCGGCCTTCTTGTGCAAATATAGCACTGCAGTGTTGAAACTGTTTTACGCTGGTTTGCCGTTGTGCAGAGTCTATGGTGCAGGGTGAAACGGACACTGATTTTTTGGATCTAGCCTCTACCTCTGCCCCCGGCACATTTATTCCTCTTACACAATGAAGGCCACCAGAATTTGGTGTTCTGTTCTGATTCTGTTCCAATTTTATTAAGAAATTCTTGGTCTTGATAGTTAGCCTATGTGCAGCAGTAGCAGACAGTCTTTTTAAGGTGGCTGACAGATCACTAAACTCAAGGAAATTGTGGATTTTTTTTTTTTCTTGTCTTTTCTGATTGATTCCTGCTCAAAGTGTGTGCAGTTCCTCTATCCTTCTCTCTCCCCAGTGTGAAGCCATCTCTGAAATGTCCAGAGCAGGTCCAGAGGAGGCCACAAAAATGCTCTGAGGGCTGGAACAGCTCTGCTGTGAGGGCAGGCTGAGAGAGTTGGGGGTGTTCAGCCTGGAGAAGAGAAGGCTCCGGGGGGACCTTATGGCAGCTGGCCAGGACTGAAACGGGCTTAGGAGAAAGATAGAGACTTTTTACTAGGGCCTGTAGTGACAGGACAAGGAGCAACAGTTTAAAATTGAAAGAAGGTAGATTTGGTATAAGGAATAAATTCTTTACGGCGAGTATGGTGAGGCACTGCCACAGGTTGCCCAGAGAAGTTGTGGATGCCCCATCCCTGGAAGTGTTCAAGGCCAGATGGGACAGGATTCTGAGCAACCTGACCTGGTGGAAGGTGTCCCTGCCCATGGCAGCGGAGCTGGACAAGGTGATGTTTAAAGGTCCCTTCCAACCCAAACCCTTCTGTGATTCTATGAAACGTGGGGCATCCTTGGCAGAGCAGAGCAGCTGAGAGGAAGCAGTGTTGTAAGAGCAACAAAGGGGAACATCTAAATGTGGCCAAACGAGTTTCACTGTGGAACAGAGAAAGAAATAACTTGCACTGGGATGAGTCAGCTCTGTTCTTTTTTTTTTTTTTTTAATGTTACATAACTCTGAATCATACACCAAATCACACATTACAGTCTGCGATCTGAGAAGTAAAATTCATTCAGGCCAATTGATTTTGTGATACCTTCCTCCCTCCTAAACAGTAGTGCTGGCCTGGCACAGGGAGGGAGGGTCCCTGCAGCGAGGTGACCCTGGTGACCTGGGGGCTGGGGAGATGTGCCTTTTTGCATGAAAGAGGATGGAGCTGCTGATAGTGTGGCAGCACTGACGAAAGGCCAGAGTGTGGCCGAGTAGAGAGGGGCCGTCATCGCTCATGGTGGGCTGCAGACAGCGGGGCTTTGGGTGCCCCATCCCTCTTCCTGGGCAGCTCGGCACAGGTAGGGAAGCTGCTAGGAGCACAGGGTGTACGGAGTAGGGTTTATGTGAAATAAAGGCCCCACACTACTGTAGATTGGATGGATGCAAGTTATGGGGTGCTGTTTTTTTTTCCCAGATGCTCCAGGTGTCTGCAACTGAATAACGCTAGGTTATATGTACAGTAGCATAATCACCCTTGGACGTAAACCCTGCCTTCAGTAAGGAAACACCCGTTCCTCTGCCAAGCACTGTTCTGCTTTGACCTAATTATTTACTGTTTACAAAATATCTTGCTTCTGTATTAGTTTTTCTCTTCTTTCCTAGGATTAATGACATAGCAAACCTTTGCGCAGAGCTGACGGCATGCTGCACGGTGCTTAGCTCAGAGTGGTTAGGGGTCGTAAAAGCTCTTTGCTGCTCTTCAAATCATGTCTGGGGTTTCAATGATCTGCTCTGCAGTGTGGATGTAAGTTCAATATCTTCTGAAGTACCTGTTAAACCTACTTACCTAGGGTGTGATTACAGGTATAGTAAGGTTTCCACTCAACACTGAATGCTGAGCATGAATTTAGTCCTATATCTGTTTGAGTTTTCAAGGCTTTTAATGAGATTCATGATTGATTTTTATTCTTTCCTACATCTTCAGGGTTAATGTAGAGTTTGGGAAGTGCTTAGAGTTTTCTCTTTGTAATTTTTTTTCTTTATTATGGACTGATACGGAATATCAGAGGTACTCTTTGAAAGGAGCAGCCATGTCCGTATACGTTTTCTAAAATTCTGATGAATATGCAAATAACTATCTCTATTTTAAAGACCCTGTTTTGGTGCTGGCTCTTAGATTGTAGGAGGAGTGGTACACTTTGCTGTTCCTTACTCACCTGGTGTAAGTTACTGTAGTCCTGTTAAAGTCAGCAGGATTATGGTGATGAACGTTATTCGATATCTGATTCAATATCTTTATCTGTAATTTGATTACATATGCCTTTAGGACAGGATTGAAGCTGTGTACTTGGGGATGTATTTTTGTCCTGAAGCTAAGGAATGAGTATTGTTATCAGTTTTTATCGAATGATAAAATTTTCACAAGCTTTTATAAGATTCATGTTTTTTATTTCAGAATTTGTCATACTTGAAATAAGTGCTTGTTAAAATGAAGTTAAGAACTATCAGTATTTGCCATAAAATGTTTGGAAAATGCACTAATACTTAGAGACAAATGCTTATGTGTAAACATTTTACTGTTTATTCTTACAGTTAATTCCTTAGTAATCATGGCAGTGGGGTTTGCACTGTTATGTGAAGCCATGCAATGTTTTTCCTTTGAGGTGAGTGACCTGTCGTTCCATGATTCCCTGGCCACTTTCATTGCTATATTGATAGCCCGGCAGTGCTTTTCTCTGGAAGATGTAGTTCAGCATGTTGCACTACCTTCTCTTCTTGCAGCTGGTAAGAAAATACTAAGAGAAAAACTTAAAATGAAAAACTTAAGACTCCTAAAGAAGTCTTCATTGATTGAATAAGTAGTGTGTTCTGAACTGCGCTCTTGTATGGAATGCCACTGGTTGTGCATTGCAGCAGGTGTGTCCCTGCAGTTCCCAAAAGGAGCGACGCCAAGTTAGATCAGAGAACCCACATGTGTCAAGTGGTATCAGAGTTGCTGACGGTACACTGTCCCCTTCTGTTATGCCGCCTTACCTTCTGCTCACGACTCTTTTCTGCTCTATGCTATAGGCTCAAATGTCTGCCAGATCTACTCAGGTTGTGCATTTCCTGGCATCAGTCTGCCTGACATTGGCATTTTCTTTCTGACCTCATCGTCTTTGCCTCCAGCCCTGGAGTACTGTAGCTACAGTCCTCTTTGTTGGCCACTTCACACATTTCTTTTTACTTTCTGCTTGGATTTGTGTTTCTTAGTTCTACTTCGATTGTCAAAAGCCATTTTAACCATGTATTCTCTTCTGCCATTAATTATGTCTCTTACTTACAAAAATCGTACTGTTTTTTCCTGTTTTTAATGACTTCATAAATGCTGATTCCTGTTGATGAAATTATTGTATTCCCATTTAAAATGGGACTGTGAGGTAAAACATTTCCAGGTCTGCCACTGGGACTTGTGGGGTCCTGGGCAGATGCCTTATGTCTGCGTCCCATCTTCTGTAGCCTGTGGAGATCCGGATGCGGAGCCTGGGGCGAGGATGACCTGTCGGCTACTCCTGCACCTCTTCAGGACACCCCAGGGCTGCCTCTTTCCCCAGGGAACAGGTAAGTTCCTGCTGCATGTTCCTTTCATTTCAGAAAGTGAACCCAGATGGTTTTAGATGGCTTCACATTTCATGTGTGAAAATATCCATAGTGCAAGTGGAAATGATAGCCTGTTTAAAATTACAGATGTTTCACTAGTGAAAAGTTGATAGACACTACTCTTACTTGTCTGGGAAATGTTTTATATGCATGTAAAACTCTAGACGTTTGCTGAAACTTATTCCATGTCAACACCTGGCCACCCAGGTGTGGCATAATGTTGACATAAAACTAAGCCGTATTAATACTACATTTTCTAAAAGAAAATTAAATTTTAACACGACATTTGTGTACACAACAGCAAAGAGCAATACACTTAGAAGAACTTTTCTGTCCTGATAGTTCTTGTTTTGTTTTGGAATTTCATTGAAACAGTCATGTGAGCCTGGGACCTATTAATACTGGGTTTGTGCCAGTGTTGCTGTTGGCACTGGTAGTACATATCACAGTCACCATTTCCTTCATACTGTCAGAACAGTGACAGCTCCTGTAGTGGGTCATCTCACAGTGATACAGAAACTAATAGAGATATACATCATGCGGTTTGGTAGCCTTGCATGTGAATTGAAATTAAATGTAATTTTAAGTAGGGTATAATAAAGCATCTAGTCCAACAGAAGATACATGAGGAAATTACTTCTCAGAATATATTAATGTAGTTCTCTTGCCTTTCAAATTTCCTTTTAAAATGTGAATATTTTGTGGTCTGACTTGTGTGTGTTTGCCACAGACCAAAAAAGGAAGGAAAATGACAAGGAACAAGCACCTAACAATTAAAAGGAAACAAGCCTGGAAATAACCTGTGTTTTGACTTATAAGTATTTCAGTAAATTTGATGACAAGACTATTTCTATGGGAAAATAAAATTGAAAGAAAAAAAAGTTTCAGCTCCTAAGTGGTGTCAAATTCTTCCATCTAAAAGTAATATTAATTTATTTTTTGACCAGAAATGAATGAGCTTTTGTTGCATATTTGAGCAAAACAAGAACCATGAAGAACATGGTTTGAATAACAGAAGTATGTTACGTGGTCCCAGGCTTCCCTAGAAATAAAAGTGGATTTGAATGGATAGGAAAAATCATGTCTGAATTCTACAGATCAAACAAAATGTGACCACATTGCAGTCTTTTCTTACATATGGCTCAGTTAACCACCTTAGAAAGGTGGTAGATTCATCCTTCCTTTCTCCCTCTCTCCCTGTCTTTCAGTCTGTTTATCTTCTCCTTGAAGTTAGAAAAAGCATTCACTGGCTTCTTTTGCAGTCTGCTTCTGAGCTGCAGAATTAGGCTTAACTGTGCAACAGGCATTTATATTAATTAATTTTGCCTCATTCGTTACGAAGACTAGGTGAGGGAAGTAACTTCCTAAATCTGGGAAGTAAAAACCAAAATACCCTTCAGTGTCTCATTGAGGTTAAATTCACTGTTTACATGAACACAATGAAATGATAAGCTCCTTTTCTATTTAAATGATCATAGCTTATTTTGATATTAATACATCATAACTACATATCCCAGTTGATTTTAATGACTTACCTGTTGGTCTTCACTTAAAATTTCAGTAAATTCAATTCTTCATTCAGTTATTGTGCTTCTATAGTTATTCTAGATGAGAAGGATTTTGTACAAAGGAAATTTTAGCTGATAAATAGCAACCATTTTCTACAAAATTTACTCTTCTTTTCATAGGGAAGTTATTTCCTGGAATTCGTTCTTCTTGCGATCGTCACCTCTTGGCTTCTGCTCATAACAGTATAGAAGTGGGAGCAGTGTTTGCAGTCTTAAAAGCAATTTTGATGCTTGGTAAGATTATGCAGAGCCATGTGTAATGTTTTTGTTCTAGTGTTCGGGTAAAAAAGAGATCATGCTAGTTCACTTCCCTGGGAATGCTCCTGGGAAAGGAAAACCTTGATGACAGGAAAAAAACGTGGATGGTCTCTGTGCTTCTGTAGCATGCGAGTAGCATTTCCCCCACAGGTCAAGAGACAGAATTTTTCTCTCGTGAGTCAGCCCCAGCTGATGAGGCTTTAAGCAGATGTGACTTTCTCACATTTTCACCCCTACTCCTGCTGCCAGGTCCCAGTACATTTCAAACTCAGGAAAGTCCCTCTCGAATATAGAGAGGAAATATGGTCTCAGGTAATTTTTCCCACCTTTTTCTGTGTTTTATCACAAATCACGTATGTCTGTCATTATGGAAATTGCAAAAGAATCACTGCTAAGCAACTCTCTGCAAACGACGAGTGTGTTATTTTTCCAAACAAATAACTGCCTCAGAGCTTTGGTTTGGCTTAAGTTCAGTTAAAGCTCTTGTGACCTATGGTGGTGTATATTTTTGGAGCTAAGTAAATGTCCAGTTAAACAAGCAAGATCTTCCAGATGTGGACATACCCACAGAGGTATACCTCCAGCTGGAGTGCCTTTATTGGCCAGTGTCTCAGAACTGTCTCAAAAATCCCATGATCCTTAATGATGTGACTATTGGGAAAGATGCTAGCTATCTGGGAGGGGCTGGTGAATTTGAGAATGAATTTAAAATATATTTATGGCCGTTACCTATGTTCTCTTGCTATTCAGGGTGCTGAGATTTGCTGTTTTTCATTAATGGTGTGTAGTGTGAACACCTGTTTTTCATCTCTCTGCAGGCACGTTGTTTGGATAGGGTCTGGTGCAGGGTGGTACAAAGGAAGATTCGAACACAGTTTATTTGTGCCTTCACTGCAGCACATCTCCTCCTATGCCCAAAATATTATATTTGGGGATGTCTCTTGTTGGCACCCTGCATTAGTTGTTAAAAACTGTACTTGATTTGCTGAGGAAAAGCATCAGATAAGTGATCGCTGTTACAGTTCTGTGCTGAGGAAGCTTTGTGAGTACAAATCTATGTTAGAAAAAATAATCTCTACTCACAATGGAAGATGGTGGCACAGAGTCAACTGCTCTAGGGTTTATTAAATGTCTTCACAAGTTTTATCAAAGCGTTCTGGGATGGCTTTAGCTTCATGTGTCGCTTAGTATCAGTTTCTTCATTGTATTACTTGCCTGCCAGGTTCTTCCCTCTTGTCCTTCATGGGTGCAGATCTGGGCCTGATATGGTTGCACTCACAAGCTCATAAGATGCTTGAGCACAGGGAGAGTGTGGATGGGCTGGTTGCTGCTGCTGTCTGTTCATGTGTGTTGAGCACAGACATCCGTCAACTTGTTTCCCACGCTCTTTGCAATGAGCTTGTCCCAGGCTTTGGGTTGTGATGGGCTTGATGTATCTGCTCCACCAGCCGTTGGGTCAGTGGTACAGGAGTTTTTTGGATTTGCCTGGATTTGGGGGAACAGAGGGATTATAACCCCTTTCACTTCTCAGGGTATGTTCTACTGTTTTGTTATTGGCCTAATTAAAAATCATTCTATTCTGTCTCACGAGGCCAGGCAGGAGCCTACCTGCCGTCGTGGAGAGCGGGTGGGCTGGCCGCGCAGAGCTGGCTGAGGGGCCGGCGTGGAACCTGCGCTGTCGGGTCACAGCCACTGCGGCCACCCACTGGGAGGTACTGTCTGGGCACCGGCTGGTCTGTCACAGCCAGTCAGGGCTCTGCTTTTGATAAGCTGTTAAAGACAAGTTCAGTCTTGTTAAAAAAAAGATTGTCTGCTGTTTATCTTGGAGTAACTCTAAAGCAGCACAAACTGGGGGGGGCACAGGCACTGGCTGTTTTTCTTAGTAGTAACTACTAAACTCTCATTTTTGTTCTCATCCAGGGTAATGCAGTACTGGGGAACACAGAAAGAGTGAAGGGAGAACTGAGTGCGCAGGAGGACCCAGTGCACCGCGGTGTTTCGAGCACTCTGTGTAAATGTGTGGTAGTCTGAGGATGTGGCCACAGCTGCTGAAAGGCTGTCAGTCTCCTTGATGCAGTAGTTTGACATATTTGCTGGAACTTGTAGATTTTAGTGAAAAATCCTAGTGTATGTGTAACCAGTGGCCATGGCGTGAATGTGTGCGTGTTTGAATGAGTAGATACTCCGTGTGGCTGAAGCAAGCCATTTTGCCATGTCAAGTCATGTTAGTTGTTAATCTTGATAGTAACCTGAGGGGTTTCCTAGGGATGACTATCATATGTGGTGCATCAGTTACGATCCACGGGAGTTTCTACAGAGTTAAAACATTAGCCTACTTCTCATGCAGGCTGTCATCATGCACGCTTCTGGATGGCCTGGCAGGCTCTAGGGTGTTACTATATGCAGCAGTTTGGGCTATTTTCCCCACTACTACACGCTGTAGTTGTATCTTCTTCCTTGTCTGAGGTTTCAGGCCTGTAAACATGTAAAACATCAACTGCTACAGGTCTGATTTTTTTGCATTGTGTCTGAAGTATTTTTCCTCGCTTCTCTAGTCGCCCCCATTTGTTTCAGGTAGATGGTGGTTGTAGATCTGTGCCAGCGCCTTGCAGAGAGGAGAGGCTCACCAGTGTTTGCTGGGGTCCCTCCGTGTGCTCCGCCCTTTCCCATTCCCAGGAGGATCAATCTCTCTTGTCAGGAAGTTCGTAGTAAGGTGGGCTAAGGTGCCACTGCTCAAAACTTGTCTCTTGATCTATGGAGTGTTAATAAATTAAAGTAAGAGAGAAGACTTGGAAAAGGGATATCTGAGAAGAGCGAGTAACCCAACTTTGTTCAATATCTTTATTTGTTCAATATCT